GTGAGTGAGAGAGAGAGTGAGTGAGAGAGAGAGTGAGAGAGAGAGTGAGTGAGAGTGAGTGAGTGAGAGAGAGAGTGAGAGAAAGCGTGAGAGAGTGAGCGAGTGAGTGAGAGAGTGAGTGTTGAGTGAGTGAGTGAGCGAGTGAGAGAGAGAGAGTGAGTGAGAGAGTGAGTGAGTGAGTGAGAGAGAGAGTGAGAGTGCGAGAGTGAGTGAGTGAGTGAGTGAGTGAGAGATTTCATTCTCTTCTCAATCATTTCTCCCCAGATTTGAAGCCCTGATCCCATCATTTACTGAACTTAGTGATACTGAGAAAATGCCCTTTTTACTTGGAGATGACAACACAGCTACACAAGTGTGAAATTACTGTGGATAAATTATACTCAAAAGTGTTAGGTTGTGCCCCGCTCTCCCCTATGTGCTAGTGACTGTTAACATTAAGGAGGCAGAAATCAGCACCAAAACTTGGATGAAAGGAAGTCCAGCATCACACTAACCTGTAGAAGTATGACCTGTAAATGCTGTGGACGTGATTGGCGGTAAAGTAACTGAAACACAACATATGGAAACAGCTGTTAAATCAGACTCAGATTAGGAGGAGCTTCTTGTGAAAGCCACATTCCAGTACAGCAACACATTCACCTGTAGTAGTGGGACTGGTAGATGTTGTGGAAGTGACCATGTGTAAAGAAGCTGAAACAATACCAGATGGAAACAAAATCAGACTCAGGTGATGAACTACTCTGTTTTTCATTAAGAAAATCACCAAGAGGAATTTCTTTTAAGAAGCCACATTCAGTCTAGCACAGATCAGCACAAATCAGTGTTCTTAAGTTAGCCAATTTCCCGTGTACAGGGAGTAGAGAGCAGTGAACACTGTGTAAGGACCATGTCAATTGGAACACAGTTTATTCATGGAGCTCTCTTCTAACGAGCTGTTGATTAGAATCCGGTGAGTTAAACAAGAGAGATATGCAAAATATGCACAGTGGGGGTCCCGAGGACCAGGATATAAGAACCGCTGTTCTAGAATTATCCTCACCTGTAGAAGTAGAACTAGAAGATTTTGCGGAGGCTTTGGCAACATTGTGTTACACAGTCATGCTAATAAAGCTTAATTGAATTGAATTGAATTGAATTGAATTGAGTGAGAGAGAGAGTGAGAGAGAGAGAGTGAGTGAGAGAGTGAGTGAGTGAGTGAGAGAGAGAGTGAGTGAGAGAGTGAGAGAGAGAGAGAGAGAGAGAGAGTGAGTGAGTGAGTGAGAGAGAGTGAGTGAGAGAGTGAGAGAGAGAGAGAGTGAGTGAGCGAGAGAGAGAGTGAGTCTCTGGAGAAACATGGGGGAAGCGGAGACTCTGCCATCCGACGAAAAACAAGCAGAAACCGGCATCTGTACCGCCGAGGAATCGATTGTATGGAGTCAAGAAGTAGAAGTGTGTCTTTTTCACGCAATGCTGGGTCATAAACCTGTAGGTAAGATGAATTCATTTTGATTTGTGTGAATAACAGGCCCTGATCTCCGCACGCGAAACAATATAACATCAGACATAAAACCATGTGCTCCTTGTTACCTTTTAAGTATCTGAAATCAAGTTTATAATACAGTTATTTAATCATACCAATCAAATTTTAAAATACTGATAAAGATGTTTTTAGTTAATTTAAGCGTGTTTAGTGATTCTTTAGTGAGCGTTATCGACTCCAGTTGCTAATTGTTATAAGAAATTTGAATATAACGTTAGTGATTGCATGAACGGTTTTGTTACAAATTTGAGATGTATTGTTGACTATTGCTGAATTTGTCTATTTATTAATGACTACTATTGTGTTTATGGAGGGAGTATAGCAGTGAATGTGTGTTAACGTTAGCAAACAATAGCACGGCTGCTAACTAGCATGATAGCATCACGGCTAGGCTAATTTACGGCAACACGGTGTTTTCGGTGGTGTCAGGAGAGCGTCTCTGTGAAACTGTCTCATGTCTTCAGGAGTGAATCGCCATTTCCACATGATCTGTATTCGCGATAAGTTCAGTCAGAACATCGGCAGGCAGGTGCCATCTAAAGTCATCTGGGATCACCTGAGCACCATGTACGACATGCAGGCGCTGGTAAGACAACTCGACGCCTGCTTTCTTGGGATTGTGAGATTTATTTGAATGATATTCATTCACTGCATGCATTCTACATCACAACAATTTAATGTAATGTAGTATATGTGGGGTCCAAAGGTCCAGATTGAAAATTAAGTATTTAAAATTGAAATATTGCATCATTTTTAAACCCTGGAAATAATTGAAGTTTTTGGGTTTTTAAAACAATGAAACGTTATGATGTATGATTATTAAATGCATTTAAGATTCTGTACTCGGTCAGTAATCAAGTAAGCACATTTGTGATAGACAGATGTTCAAATACGAAGACTGTATTTACAGTACGTTACTTTTTCCAGTTCAAACTCTCATTGTTATGCAAATAATATAATTAATAAAAAAGTTTAAATTAGAGAGATGCAAAATTAAAGTATGGCCTTAGACTTTCTGGCCCTAATATTGTGATGGAACCAGGGTCATTATAGTTAAGTAAAACGAAAGCCATAAAAACATTGTTGCTTGAAATAAAATAAACATGAACTAACATGAATAATTTTTAACTGAAATAAATGTATAAAAATAACCAAAACTGAAACACAAGAAAATTTTAACTAAAATTGAAAATGAAAACGGAGAATATAAAAATAAACAAATTCAAAATATGAATAAAAATCCATAATAGTATTTCAGTTATACTAAAATAACACTGGATGGGCCAATATATGTTAGGACAATTAATTGATAACTAGTTTGCAGAGCATTTATTTTACATTTTCTATTTTTTAAATCTTTTTAGAATATTTAAAAATGTATATTGTTTAAGATTCACAATATTTAATTAAATTCATTATCAGAAGTTTAATTTAATAATCTATATATATACACACAACGTCAGTCAAATATTATCACAAATTAAACCCTGTCAGGGTGATCAGGACGCCATCATGAGCCCTAGATAACACACCATTGAATAACCCATATCACTTTTATTGCTGCAGTTTCCAACAGGGATAAATAAAGTTGATTCTACTATACCTCTCAAATCTAATTAGTAAATGTCTTTTTGTTGCTGCAGCACGAATCAGAAATACTCCCGTTTCCAAACTCGGAGAAGAGCTTTGTGCTGCCTGAAGAGATCATACAGGAAGTCAAGGAAGGTGAGCTGCTCGTAGTTTCTGTGTTGTGATTTACAGTTGATCAGTTTGATTTTACTGATTTACTTAAAAGCTCTTTTTGTCTTTGCGCAGGTAAAGTGGGATCTGAAGATGACTTGAAGGAGGAGTTCAAAGAAGAGAGTGACCCACCTGCAACCCATGAAGAAGGTTCTCTTCTCCTTCACTCTTTATTTATCTCATCTACTCACCCCTTTCTTTTTCCTTTCCCTCTCTCTCTCTCTCTCTCTCTCTCTCTCTCTCTCTCTCTTCTTTTCACG